ACTCTCTCTCTCTCTCTCTCTCCATTTATTTTCTCTATGGTAATTCAGCTCGCCTAATGCGACCTAATTGTAACCCACTATTAATATAATCACAATGGACGTAGGATTCGCCTTGGAGGCATCCAAACCACTTTAAAAAGTGTTACCCGCTCCATCTCTCATTTTGCACTTCCATATCACGTGTGATTTATAAGTCCGTTTAGCACTTCACAGGTGCGAGTCGTTGGTATCAAAATCAAGCATCAATAGTTTGGCGTTAGAAGGAGGGTGTGATTTAGTATCTGCTCTTCATCAGAAACCTCTGACCAATTCCGTCCACTGGCCAATGGCTCGTGGTTTTGAGACAGAGTGACCCAATGTCGACAATGAGGAAGTCCCCCAGGTATAGAACGACACTTCTCCTGAAGTGCCGCCAGCCTAGCAAAGTATCATGGCGGATATTCCTTCGAGCTCACAACTCGACCCAACCATAATAAATTACCTGGGTAGGTTCAACAATACTCTCCAAACAGTTAGCTGAAGGTGTTAGTGTATATTAGTGTATGCCCTAGAAACTATTCTTGTTGTCGGTTTCTGAGCGTTTTGTCTTGTATCTATATATATATATATATAAATAATAGAAGAAAGAGTTCTTCAATTCATATATATAAATTGCTTCCTTTATTCAGTCATGCATTTAAAATAAAGTATGTATATGAATTGTCTAGATGATTCATTTAATCGGTAAATGAATTATCGAAAAGGGTTCCCTACGGAAGCAATATAATTTAGGCAACTATATTGCACAGTAGGCATATCGGATGCTTCCGAAAGATATCATGAGTTGATATAAGTACGGATGACGATGATAGTCATGTCATTGGGGCATTGGTATGGATTAGCGGTTGATGAACTGTTTTTCGAACGTGACCAAATAACGACAAATCACTTGAAAAAGCATGTAGTCAATGATTTATCGTTTGGTTATATCAGTGCACGATGTAGTCCTTTGACCTGAGACATTGTAGTTGGATTCGATACGAATGCGTATGCGTATGGTTCATACGGTGTATAAGTACGAGACTAATCATGTTTCGTATAATAAAGCCTATTTAGTCGTGCGTTGTTCATATGCGGAAACGAATGATGGTCAAGAGGGGATCTATTGACTCGAAAATATAGGATTGAGATTACCGCTGACTGCATCCGGATTTGAGTTCCTAGACGAATGTCGATAAATGTCGGAAATCAGAAACTCTGGCCAGAGTCTATTATTAGTCATACAAAAGCAAGTTTGTGATGACGAGTTCCGGACATATTGATCGACGATTTGGTAGAAGATCGAGTTTAGGATTTTGATGTTCTATGAATCTGTGCTCGATTAGGATATTTCAATGGAGGAACTTTACCTACATGGTACGTATGATCTAAAATGGGTTCGATGAAGTATTTCTTCATCGTGGTTTAGGGACTATGGCACATTGCTAGATGTTTATCATAGTCGTTGGGCCTTCGGACAGGTTTTCGAATTTATCCAGAACAGGCTCATGCCTAATCCACGGTGGACCTACATGGTCACACTAATAGCCTTGAGAAGTTAGAGAATGATGAGAGAGAGAAATGATTATCCGAAGAGGGCTAGCACCTTCCAAGGGTAATGACGGGATTTCTATGGTAATAGTTACATAGAAAAATATGTTTGTGACATTTTAAGGGTTAAAATGGTCAAGCAATGATTAATTGTATTTAATTATTATATCCTAAAGCGTTAAGATTAATGAGATGAACAAAAAATAACCTTTTAATAGTTAAAGGGTAAAAGGGTAAATTTATGGGTTGTTAATGTAAACTAGTTTAGTTTACATGGGCCCTTGAATAATATTGATTATTCAAAGGGTAGCATAATAAATTTGTGGGGTCCCTTTTTAAAATAAGATTTTATTGGGCTTGGAAGTAAAAAATAAATAATTACAAAATTGCCCAAGTATATATAAATGCAAAAGGTTGCATTTTAGTTCATTATTCATTTGTTCACTCAAAAACAAACTAAAAGCTTTCTCTCCCTAGCCACGGCCACTCTCTAAATCTCTCAAGGTGGTGTTAAAGTGTGGAGGTTTTATTCTTTTGAGGCTAATCTTCATCAATCCAAAGCAAAGGAGTAGGTATAATCTCTTTTCAAGCTTTGCATGAAAACCGGTTTTGTGAATCCAACCTTTTATGTTTTCAATCATCACTTCCACCACTCTTCATGCATGCTGATCTTTTAAAAGGCTGGACCGTTTAGACCAGGTCATGCCACCAAAGTCTAATGAGGTGGTGCCACAGCCAAAGATGTTTACAGGTCGCGGGAAGGCGCGAAAAAGGGCAAAGGCCAGAACTACACGCACTATAACGCGTAAAAGTAAGGGGAAACATGGCGACCAGTGAACCAGAAGGCTCCGAGGGGCTAGTGAACACCGGTCGTGCAGCGGGTAGAATACCCATGGCATTGCAACTTGGTAACATGTTGCAGCCTGAGCCGTCTCACGCCACGTTGTATGGGCACACCTGTAAAAGTGCAGGCCGGGGGGACTCCCAGCCTCATCAAAGTAATGGTCCCGACCATCATCACCGAGGGAACCACCACCATCTGCAGGTCAGTTTTGACCACCGTGGGGGTCAGGAAAATTCCCCGAGGCATTCGCTACCCTCACATAGCTCTAGCTAGCGTGTGTCAGGGAGTGTCGAAGCTTTCTACCAAGCAGTGGAAGGGCCCGACCTTCGGTCCTACCTCAATCGCAATCGTGAGGGTCGAACTCATGTTGCAGAAAGTAACCCCCTGATAGCTCCGCTATCTCAGATCGAGGAGTTGCAACAGCAATTAGATCAGCTCAAGGCTCAACAGAACGAATAGGGTAAGGTCGCTAAAGTGTCCCTGTAAACCCCGCGTTATTATTCCAATGCCTTAAGGTATGAAATTTACTTTTCAAGTAATTTTCTTTTTTTGAATGGAAGGGTAAAATGGTCAATTTACATGTATTTCAAGATGTGGCCATTATAAAGTGTAAAGGATGATGTCATTGAACTAGGGAGGGGTTTTACAGTCCCCTTTCTCTCCAGTAGTACTAGCTACTCCTCTCCCAGTGAGATTTTAGGATGCCTGACATGCGGGCGTTCGACAGAAAATCTTATCCACAGGACCACCTCTATGAGTTCAATGACCTTATGAAACTCCACCAAGTCTCCGACTTGGCCAAATGTCCCTACTTACCAGTGACAATAATTGCCCATGCCAAGCACTGGTTCAGGTTGCTCCAAGCAGGGACAATAAGCTCATGGCAACAAATGAGCTCGTTATTCTTAAGTTACTTCCGAGCAAACAAAAAGTTCTCAATGCCGTTGAGCTATCTGAGAAATATGCGGCAAGTGAGGGATGAGTCCCTCCAATCTTATATAGATATGTTTTACTGCAAACTCCACAAAGTGGCTCACACTCCTGAAGAGTCCGTTTGGACTCTCATTATCGTAGGGGTTCACCCGCAGACTAACTTATGGAAAGAGCTACAGTCAGAGGATGATGTTTCCCTCACTCGTTTCTACGACCTTATTAAGAAGTATCTCTGAATAGAAAATTCTGTGGCTAATCTCAATCGCCACAACCCCGGGTCGTCAACTAGTGTTCTCAGTCGGGGGGAGAATAGTAGAAGGGCTGATCACGATTGGGCTAATGATAATCAGCGAAAATGGAAGAAACGACGATTTGAGCCCAAAAAGTCTCACGCCTCAGTTCCTTGTCACGATCGTGACAAGAATCAGTACACTCCTTTGAATGCCTCGGTATCGACAATTCTAGATAAATCAGAGAAGGCCAGCCTGCTCGAAGAGCCGGAGCCCATGAAGAATCCCCCTTCAGCCAGGAACAGCAAAAAGTACTGCCGCTATCACTGGGACAATGGGCATCAAACTGATGAGTGTCGGGCTCTCAAGCAAGCAGTTGAAGACCTCATCAAACAGAGGCACTTCAAGAAGTATGTTGACAGTCCAACTAGGGATCATTTTTGGGGGGCCCTACCTCGCGGGAAACTCTCAAGGTGCCTAGAAAAGGTATGCTCGGGAAGCTCACCATGACCCATTGAGTGTAATGAGCATGGCGTCGCGACCTGCAAAGATCCATAGGAAAAAAGAAATTACCTTTTCTGAAAAAGATGCAATACGACTGCATCACCCTCACGATGATACACTCGTCATCGCGCCTAAAATAGGTCGGTGCGAGGTCCACAGAATGCTGGTCGACAATGAGAGCATCGTGAATATCTTGTTCCAACAAGCCTTTGAAAGATTGCAACTAGACGAGGCAAACCAGGGATCACTTGATTCCTAAGGGAACGATTGCACTCCCTGTCACGTTGGGAGAAACCAATGAAATGACAAAGGTGATGAAGTTCTTGGTGGTAGATTGTCCGTCCGCCTTCAATGACATCCTGGGACGACGTCTACTACGAAATTTTAATGCTGTCACCTCTATCTACCATCTAAAAATAAAGTTCCCCACCCCAACGAGGATTGGGGAAGTGCAAGGATCCTAACGTGAATCTCGCGATTGCTACATAAGGGCAGTCCAGATGGCGTGCAAGTGAAAGGGGAAGCCAGTGGGCGCCCCCAAAGATGCCATGACAATCAACAGGATCGAGCCACGACCTGGACCAGCAGAGGATAACATGGATCCTCGCATCCAAAAGTGTCCTCATAGCGGGACAGTTGAGGACCTGTCTGTTTACTGTATAAGGATTATTTTCAAGGGGCCCCACCTCGTGGGGAACTCTCAAGGTGCCTAGAAAAGGTATGCCTAGGAAGCTCGCCATGACCCCCTGAGTGTAATGAGCATGGTGTCATGACCTGCTAAAATCTGCAAGGAAGAAGAAATTACCTTATCTAAAAAAGACGCAATACGACTGCATCACCCCCACGACGATGAACTCGTCATCGCACCTGAAATAGGCCAACGCGAGGTCCACAGAATATTGGTCGACAATGAGAGCACCATGAATATCCTGTTTCAGCAAGCATTCGAAAGAATACAACTGGACGAGGTAGACCTAAAACCTGCCTCCTTCCCCCTTTATGATTTTACTAGGGATCATCTAATTCCCAAGGGAATGATTGTACTCCCCGTCACGTTGGGAGAAACCAATGAAGTGATGAAGGTGACGGAGTTCTTGGTGGTAGATTGTCCGTCCGCCTTCAACGGCATCCTAGGACGACCTTTACTATGGAATTTCAAGGTTATCACCTCTATGTACCATCTAAAAATAAAGTTCCCCACCTCGACGGGGATTGGGGAAGTGCAAGGATCCCAACGTGAATCTCACAACTGGTGCATAAGGGCAGTCCAAATGGCGTGCAAGGGAAAGGGGAAGCCAATGGGCGCCCCCGAACACGCCATGACAATCAATAGGATCGAGCTACGACTTGGACCAGCAGAGAATAACATAGATCCTTGCATCCAGGAGTGTCCTCACAACGGGCCAGTTGAGGACTTGTCTAAGGTGTCGGTCGATGAAAGCGAATCGACTAGAGTATTAAGAATCGAGAGCAATCTCAACTCATAGCTCGTCGAAAACCTGACGAGCTTCCTTAAAAAAAAAAAACGTCGATGTTTTTGCATGGACTCACGCCGATGGTCGGGATCAACCCGAGCGTAATATGTCATGCTCTAAACATTGACAATGCAGTTAAGCTAGTCTGCCAAAAGAGAAGGGCAATGGACCCTAAACACTATGCTGCCCTGAAAAGTGAGGTGGATAAGCTCATCTTAAACGGGTCTATTCGAGAGGCACTTTACTCGAGCTGGGTTGCCAACCCACTCTTAGTAAAGAAACCCAATGGCAAATGGCGGATCTGCGTCGATTTCATTGACCTTAATAAAACTTGTCTAAAGGATAGCTTTCCCGTGCCGAGGATCGACTAGCCCATTGATGCCACTTCTGGGCATGAGCTGCTGAGCTTTATGGATGCCTACTCGAGATATAATTAGATTCCAATGTATGCGTCAGATAAAGAGCATACCTCGTTCATTACAGATCGGGGACTATATTGTTACAAGATCATGCCCTTTGGCTTGAAGAACGCTGGGGCAACTTACCAGCGGTTGGTTAACCGTATGTTTTCCAAACAGATCAGCAAAACAATGGAAGTCTATGTTGATGATGAAAGATAGATGCATGGAGAATCAAGCATATCATACTATAACAAGTATAGTCATAGTTTAAAAATAAATTTCAATCAAATTGAAATAAGTAAGGTAGAACATGTTACCTTAAGCCCTTAGCAACCTTGGAGACTCTTAATTTCAAGAGAAATTAAGCAAAAGAGTATCCACACCAAGGGAAGAAGAAATTTGACCAAGAGGGAGATTTAGGGTTCTTAGAGATTTTTCTCAACACAAAAATTGATATATCATTTTCTTTATATAGGAATCCTTGTAAACAATTCAATAATTGTTTTGGACTTCCTTAAACAATTCCATAATTGTTATGAAGTTGTTAAACTTCTTTAAATGATAACATTGGATTAACATTTAATCACAATTAACAATTTAACTCTTAAATTGTTTACATAACAATTTAACCCTTAAATTGTTTACAATTACAACCCCTTGTAAAATCCAATTTAATATAAAGAAAATGATTAATATAAATAACTTTATTACCTTTGGTAGGTGCTAGCCAACCTTGGATAATCAACTCTCTTTGGCTATTTCTTCATTCTCCTTAGTTTTTATGTGTGACCTCTTAGGTTCACTGTGGCCTAGCCGTGGGCCCAATATCACAGTCTATTTCGATATGTTTTGTCATAACTCTTTATGAACAAAACTCCCACTGATTATGGTAGGCATCTAGCAATGCTCCATAACCCCTAAGTCACAATGAAGATATACTCCAACGAACCTTTTACAATCATACACGTTGTATAATCAAATCCTTCCGTTATCTAATCCCAATTAAGAATGGATTCATGGTATGTCAAAATCCTTATCTTAATTTTAATTTAATACATATGGAACGTGTCACTATGAAACAACCTTTCATGTAACATTTTGTATACCCCGGCCGGAGATTTCCCTTTTCCAATGTATCTTGACATTTGTCTAGGAACTTGATATCAATCTATACCAAGTCAACGGATCCCATCTTGACTATCACTTGTCCTCACACATAAACAACACATGGCCAAATCGGCTTATTAACACATGGCATGATTAGCCTCATGTTTATACACCATATGAACCATATGCGTTTATGCAGAATCCAACCGTGATATCTCAGGTCTAAGGATTAATAATACCCTAGTACGATCTTATGATAAATCATTGACTACATTTTAAATGTCCATGTGATTCATCATAAATGGCCATATTCGATAAACAGTTCACTAACCGCGTATCCATGCTAATGCCCTAGTGATATAACTTTTATAATCACCCACACCAATACCATCACATGATATTCTACGGAGGCATTCAGCATGCCTACTATGTAATATTATTGCCCAATTAATATTACCTATGTAGGGAATACTTTGATGATTTTGATCTTCTAAAGATTTGTATCATCCGGACATTTCACATGTAATACATATATATAAATGAAGCAATAAACCACATGTGAAATAAGAACACTTTCTTTTATTGATAAGATAAAATGTATATACAAACTATATACATTCACATATATATACAAAACATAATGCCTCGGAACCGATGACACGATTGGTTCCTAGAGCATACACTAACAGATGACATGCTAGTTAAGTCGCATGCCACTTCAGATCACATAGCGCATTTTTCCGAAATATTCGACGTACTCCAAAGGTACAGAATGAAACTAACCCTCTCAAGTGCTCATTTAGGGTATTCTTAGGAAAGTTTCTGGGGTACATGGTTAACCAACGGGGAATCAAAATCAACCCCAAAAAGATCCAAGCTCTCCTCGATATGAAAAGCCCCGCTAGCAAAAAGTAGGTCCAGAACTTGAATAGCAAGATAGCGGCTTTAAGTCGCTTCATATTGAGAGCAACATATCGTTGCTTGCCATTTTTTAATATGCTTAAGGCCAACAAGAAGTTTGAATAGACTCCAGAGTGCGAACAGGCCTTTCAGAGTATAAAAGAACACCTCGGAATACCACATCTCCTGTCTAAGCCTCTTCCCAAGGAAATTTTACTTCTATACCTATCCGTCTCCCAACATGCAGTCAACGCTGTCCTCATCCGGGAAGAAGGCAGAGTTCAATGGCCAGTATATTACGTAACCAAGCGACTGCTAGACACTGAGATGCAGTACCCAGAGATGGAACAATTAGCTTATGCCCTGCTGATCGTCTCTGTCGAACTAGTCGTCACGGCCACAAAATTAAACCTAAATATCGTAGTTAGTAGTAAGCAGGGTCGTATCCATAGAGAGCAAGACTACAGACCTAATGTATGTTTGAGTTAACAAAAGGGAACTTGACAAATTGATTGATTAAAACTAAGGAAACTAATTAATTGCAGGAAATTAAAAGCATCAAACAAATTGCTAACTGAAACACAATATTAAAAGCGTTGTCGCTACGGGTTCGGTTTGACTCAAGACCAACTCTCACAATTCCTCTCCTCGCTCTTCAATTTCCTAAACCTACAAGGGTAGGCAAATCAATAAAAATATCTCTCAGCAATCTAGGTATAATCTATCCTGTCTCCCCGTCGTCTTAGTTATAGATCGATTGGTTAAAGACTATCATTGATTAACCGAAAAATGCTAAACCCTTAAACACCACTAGTTGGTACAATGTTGAGAAGTACAACCTATCAACTTGTATCATCTAATCAACTAATTACACAACAAATGCATTCCTAGTAGAAATGATATTAAACGCTAATACAACTTGATTGCAATCTGTATCGAAGCAATTTAAAGTCATAATCAACATTCAATAATCTCAAACTGACATTCAATTATGCGAAAAGTTATATATCAACAAACGTTCTCAATGGACATTATCAATTCAGCATGTCGAGCATCAAAATAATATTAAAGCATCGCAAACAAACAAAAACAAAAACAAATATAATCTGAATACAAGAAACTTAACTAAATATCCAACATTCGGGCTCATCCAACAAGTCGAGAACTGCCAAGAAGATCCATGAGTGTAGATCCTGATCTCCCTACACCATAACAGGCAACTAGTAGCTCAGCCACTCATGTTGGTGTCAACGAAGGTTGGAACGGTGGGAACGGAGCTGTCATGGCGAAGAGGACGTAACCGACAATGAGATGATGCAAAGAAAGAGCAAAGAAAACCAACAAACAGCCCAGAATACGAATAATCGCACTCGCCAGAAAACGTTAGTTTTTTTGCAGGTCTTCTGGCAAATGGTGGCAGAAATGAGATCCGAAGGCACCAATAGAAAGCTCAGGTGATGGAGAGTTCAGATCATGTCGCAGGGAGATGAAAGGTTGCTAGAAATGGGAGAGATTGCGGCCGAGAGGTAAAGAGGCACGGCGGCGATAATGGTGGATTCTGGTGATTTTGGCGACAGCTGAAGCTTGGAATGGATACATCCGACCGTGGGGAAGCTAGATCAACCACCAGGGAGATCCAACGTTGTTGGAGTTCACCAAAAAATGGTGAAATCCCGGTTGGAATGTGAAAGGTTGTGGCGGCAGAATGCGAAACGTCGCGATAGTGATGTGTGATCATGGTGGTGTTGACAGTTGGTGAAGATGATCAGTGCAAGGGGAATACGAAGGGTCATCAAAACTTGATCAGAGAAGGTGAAGGGTTTTGGTGGGTGGCAGCCACCCAATCTGCGACTTTGAGCTCTATACAAAATGTGGCAAATTTCCATTTGGTCCCTGCATGATTGAAAAGTGATAAAATCAACCTCTTGAAACATGACATTTTACCCCCTGAATAGCATAAATGAGATACAATCACCCCTAATCCATAAACCACAACCTAATATCAACTCACACCATTTCCAAATTAATTCCAAATATGCTAAATTAGTAAGAAAAACTCGAAATATGATTTTTTATACATAAATTCATAATTTCTCTTAATTGTCTCAATATAACTTCAATTAAATTACATATAGGATCTTTTTATCAACAAAATAAAGTCACTTTCGTGCTCTAACAGCCTTCAGAAAGCTGCGACCTTACTTCCATGCCCACACAATCCATGTTCTAACTAACTACCCACTCAGGCAAGTCCTTCAGAAGCTGGAGGCTTTAGGTAAGTTACTTAAGTGGGCAATGGAACTGAGTCAGTTTGATCTGCATTATAGACTAAAAACGACCATCAAAGGGTAGACTGTTGCCGATTTCATTTCAGAATTCTCATACCAATTTGATCAAGGACCCGAGTAACCAACCGGCGAGGTTGTCCAAGAAGTAGCGCAAAAACTGTCAACCTGGAGCCTCTATGTTGATAGTTCCTCGAACATAAAAAGGGTCGAGGCAGTCTTCTCCTCTTCAGTCCTGAAGGGACACGCATTCATGGAATCCTCCGGTTCGGGTTTTAGGCTACTAACAATGAAGCTAAGTATGAAGCGCTGCTCGTTT